TGCGGAAATTGTCTGTTGAACTGAGCATTAAGTTTAAAGCGAAAACGAACCTTAAACTCAAAAATGACTCCTTTTTGCATTTTTGTCTTTTGTTGGTCATATTGTGTATGTTTAAAAATTTTGTCTGCTTCACCTGCATAATTGTACAGTCTCGCCACAAATATTCGCTAATCCATTCAAAATTAAAGGATTACTTCGAAACGTGATCCACTGGTTCTATTTCTGATTTTATCACTGGACTTGATTCTCTTCCACTACTGACATGCATTCTTCTCATTTCTGGTGTAGACATATAAGTTTTACCACTTTATGCTTGCTGTTAAAAAATGCATTGGAAACTCGTTGTGGGTTGAACATGCTATGAGAAACAGCAGGACAAGCTCACGAATACGAGCAAATTAAGAAAATTGCAGCGCTCTACTCGTCGTTTGAGCTTCCGCATTACAATTCCATGTAACGCTAGAACGCTGTTTGGTTGTTGTGCGCCACGTTCAATTCATGCCCTTGATTCTCCAAACTCGCGTTTCCTCTCCTGGCCGACGAGCGAACAGTCATAGCAATTTTACCAAGCTCATATTTTGGTGCATTGCAGGCTAAGTTGTAGTCGTTTACGACTTACAGATTAAAAACCGAGTGCCATGAGAGCACTGGAGCATAAAGATTGCGCTCCTAGAACCATTATTTTGATCTACTTGCTGTTGAAAGTAAGAAAGTGTTTATGTGTTGGAGTTTGTCAAAAGGGTTTTATAGAATTGCATCGCTCGTCCGCCACGAGGTTCCGTGGTGTAGCGGTTAGCACTCAGGACTCTGAATCCTGCGACAGGAGTTCGAATCTCCTCGGAACCTGCAATAAACAGTTCTATGAGATGACCAAAAGTTTGCAAAGTTCAGCGTCGATAAAAATGCTTTATCTTTTACGTTTGTTCCAACACTGCTTTTCGATTTTCAGCCTACGGACCAGCAGGGTTTTACCAGCTTCAATAAAAATTGCAATACAGTGTCTCCTCCATGCCAAGACAATAAACTGCACCTTTCTTGAATCTGTGTTCGCCACACTAGATTTGAGCGAATAGAATTCTGTCTATAAATTTTATTTGTAGCTGTTCGTAGGAAATTCTATCGATTTGATGATTCCAATATATTACTTCAAGAACGACTTTCTTGCAGGGAGCGATTAATAGTACTTCTCTGGTTTTTAAGACTGTTATATTTATTCTTCTCAGTAGAAAATTAGCCATTGGTGAGGGGTTTTCTTCACTACTACGTATTATTAGTTTTTATAAGTCGTTATTAATTAAGCGTTTTTCTCTAAATGAATAATTAAATATTTTTTTCAGATGCTTTATAATTATGTCATGTAAATATTGTAGTTTTGGATTGCTAGGATCAAATAGTTGTTTAGTAGTTTTTTTTCGTTAGTAGTGTTATCAAATTTTATACTTTTATTTAGTCTATAATTATGCATTTTAAGCAATGGATCTTCTGTCTTGAATACTGCTCCCCCTTGTACTTTTTTACTGAAATAAATATTACACGCTTTTTCTTGAGCAGGATGCAGTGTATCTGACTTTTTTTATTTCAAGGCTAATTGTAAATCTTTTATGTAGGTTGTATCCTTTGTTAATTGAGCCTTAAATAACCCTTTGTATCTATAATGACATCGATGTATAAATACATTTGGATTCCATATAAGAGTATTTTCTCGTGTCACGCATTGTCCTTGTTGAGGATGACACCCCGCAGCATTCCCAAGTGTGGTAATAATATGGTTATTGTCTGTTGAAACGACATTCCCTTTTTTAAAATATAAATTATAAGTAGCAGTACATTTAGTTCCGCACCAGCCAAAACTATATTCTAAAGGATTGTTAGTAGCCCAACTATTATTACTTGATTGTATGAATTCGAATTTATTCTAATATTTCGTGTTGATTAGTTGATTAGTTAATCACATAATGGGACTGCAATAGCTTCTTTGGTCGTTTCATCTTTCTGTACTCCTATTGTGAGTTTAAAGAAGGACTTAGTACAAACTTCTCTTGATATATTAAAGCAGGAATGACCTATAGTTTCTGAGATACCTCTAGTATAAAAATTTATTTTTATAGGTACAGTTGCTGAAACGTCTGGGGTAGAGCAGTTTATAGGATTTGGTATTGCTAAATAAGTACCAGCTGTTAGCTTAGTACGTCAATAAAATTAGTTAAGTTCTTCTTTTGAGGTTAATGCAATTAATATTAATGTTACAAAAAATATAAAAACTAGTATAACTTTTGTCTTTTTTTTACTCATTTTGGTTACTATGAGTTTTAAATTAGTCTAGTTGAGTTTATTATTATATGAGTGAGACTAAAGAAAATCAGTTGGAGGTTTGGCTTGTAAATTTGGATCTGCTTGATCAGGCTGGATGATATCTTGAAACGAGGCTTGAGCTGTGATAGGTATTTTTAAAAAAAAGAGATGATTAATTGGTTTATAAACAATACTATCATCACCTCATTGTATACGAGCTACTCGTACATTTTCGTCTCTAATTATTATATTTTCTACTATTTGTGCTGATCTCCATTGATTTTTCATAGTATTTTCATCATACATAAAAACTATTTTTTCTTTTATAGGAGGTCTTTTATTTGTATATTTAGTTTGTTTATAAATCATTTGATTTCTTTCTAATAGTAGATGAACATAATCTCTTTGCCACACATCCCATGGTTTATCTAAGTTACCTCTTAAACAATCATAAAATAATTTTAATTTTTTATATTCTTGAGCTTCATCTTCTTGGACACTCTCAAAAAACTGTGGTATTAAAAAATCAACTGGTCTCGAAATCTGTGTGCTGTAGCATGCCTTGAGTTATAGGTCTGTTATTAATAATTCTAGTTGCATTATTTATTAAAATATTCAATTCTACTTTGGTAAGTAATTTTTACGTATAGCCTTTTTCAAAGTCTTTTTTACTTTTATATCTTTTATATGCTCCTTTCTTCTGTGGAGCAGCTATCAATTTTCATTTAATATTGTAATTCTTAGCTAATGCAATGAATTGAGGAGCATTATTTGAAGTGATACTTTCAGGTTTGCCTTTGACTGCAATAAATCTTTGGATGATATGTTCTAAAGTTGGAGTAGTTAGATCTTCAGCTAGTTCTAAATGTATTGCTCTAGTAGTAAAACAAGGAAATAAAGCAATCTCTGCTTTAAAAATAATAACTTTTTTATAAGTAGAATTATCTGCATCAATTGGTTCTATATAATCTGGACCTCTATGTTGAAAATTTCGTAAAGGAATCACTCTTTCAGTTGGTAGACTAGGCATTATTGGTAGTTCAAATGATTTCGATTTTCATCTTCTACAATCGTAACATTCTTTTCTTAAGATTTTGGACACAGTTTGTCTTCCCTTTTCAGACCAGTAATATTTTCTTAAACTACTTGGCGTATGCGAAATTTCAGCGTGCATATTTTGTTCATAATTTCTTAAAATTAATAAACGTGTGAGTCTATTATTATTAGGTGAATATAGGGGAGATTTTCAATAGAATGCATCATCTAACCATGCATGTCCTTTGTTTGTTTGAACACAGTTTGTTTGAATCTCTTTGTAGGTTCCACTTTTGTATTTTGGTATTATCAGTTTTTATTTGGGCTTGTTTAAGTAATATAATTCCATACTCAAGGTTTAACATCGTGTCATCAAAGGATTGTTTTCTTATTTAAATTATGAATTTTATTACATTTATTAAGTCGTTCAAAAGTATTGTATCTACTTAAATCAAATAAACGGTTAACTTCCTCTTTTATAGATTGATTTATGTAATTTAAAAATGCATTAATTTTTTCTCTTCTACCTTTTACTTCTAACTCAATACTAGATTAATTTATATCTAAGTTTATATCTAATGGCCACTTACTAGAGGGTTTATATTTGCAATCTGGACTTGACCACCGGAGGTCATTAGTCTTTAATTCATTTGGAGTACATCTCCTTAATCCCATATCAGCTGGATTATCTTCTGATGGCACATATCTTAATTTTTTCTCTAAATTTTTTACTGTCTTAACATGATTATATATGAATCTTTGTTTATCAAGATTTATTGATTGTAGTCAATACAGAACACATTTTGAGTCACTCCATGCTGCCAATATTGTATTATTTTAGTTTAATTGTTCTTTAAAAAATTTTATTATTCCTACTCCTACCTCTGCTGCTAATTACTCAGCTTTAGGTACTGTCGTGGGTTTAATAGCCATTAACCTATTTTTTGCATATGTAATACTAGAATATATATTGTTTTTCACTCTCATTGTTACATACACTATAGCTGCATATTTATTTTCGGAAGCATCAGTAAATACATGTCAGTCCCAATTTCCATCTGGTAGAACTTGTCTGTCAAGTATTAACTGGGCAAATTCGTAAGGTTCTACTAATCTGTTTCATTCTCTCATTAAACTAGATCCTAACAACTCATCCCATTCATAATTTCGTTCCCATAATTTTTGACAAAATTTTCTCAGTAGTAAAGTAATAAGATTTATTAACCCCCAATGGGTCAAATTGACTAGCTGTGAACAATAAAATATTTCTTTTAGTACCTGGTCGCTCTTTCCAAGATTTGAATTTTATTTTTATGATATCAATATGGGGTTTCCAGTACATTCTTTATACTGATATCTCGTTCTCATTTCGATCTTCTATTGATATATTATTATAACCATAATTTGAGTCAGTTTAAAATTGTCTTATATCCATTTTGGCATTATTGAAAATAAATTTTGATGCCTGATAATGCTTCAGAATTTGTTTCTGGTCTGAAGTAGTTAATATTATATTATCTACATATGTATTTT